ATATGCTTATATCCAACAGACATATGTATTGTACTTACACAGATACCACAGCTTTTTGTTAGGTAGGAAGTGCAGCCTCCTTCAGGAATATAGCAAGTTTTATTTGTTATTGCTCACTTTGGGACTTCCCCAACTTTCAACAACCTGAGGATGTTTCCAGTATTTGTTTTTTTGGGTTTTTTTTTTTTTTTCTTTTTTTTTTTTACACAATAAATACAGCAAGAACTGTATTTATTATTTATTAGACATTGTTTGCATGAGTTTATAGTTGCTAGAACTAATGAATACAAAGCTAAACAAAACTAAGCAAACAGATTTTTAGATCAAACAAACAGAACCACTTCTTGTATAGTGAACCTTCTCATCGGATCTGCTGGGAGGAAAGGATGGGGATGGCACTGTGCGTGCTGGGATACCAGTGGGATGGCCAAGGCTTCCGAAGACCTACCGGATAGATCAATAGCTGCTAATGGTACAGATTTCTGAAAGTTCTGGAAGTTCTCCATGTCTCCTCAAGACTGCAAAGATCAGAGAATATGTCTGTTTAAAGTGCTGTTAAGTCAACTAGGTCCTTGGTTAAAATATTAATCCTTTTGTTCAGCATTCCTGAGTCATACCTACAACCTGTATGACCGTGTGTGATATCACAAAAGCAGTGATAGGGCAGAAAAATTGTTTTTTTCTCATGTGGCATCTGCAAAACTTATTTACCTAATATATATCCCTGACCTAATGGTTGTGTTTTGCATTGGAAAATCTCCTCCCTCATTTTTGTAAACTGATTAGCCAGTAGCGCAATTGTATCATCCCTCCCAAATCTTTCTTCAGTGAATTCCACACCCTATTTCCATTTAAAATCTCCTTGGGCTCCAGTCTGAGTTTTCTTCTTGCTCCAGCCCAAAGGCAGTAAATGCAGATTCGCCCTGACCTGGACTGGATGTTTTTTCCTTTTGGGTTACTTACAAACCTCCAAGGAACGGACAACTTTCTGGTCTTTACAGATAAATGCAGTAAAAAAAAAACCCAACAACCATAAACTGTGTTCTGAAAACCCAGCGAACCGAGAATATCCATGCCCAGACACCTGATCACACTAGCAACAACGCAGGCAGGGTGGCACAGCTGTCAGTCTCTCCGTGTGGCACATTCACAATTTGCACACCATCTCCAGGGGTACAAATTTCATACCCTCTCCCAGAGCAGCCAGTGACCCTTTCTCGATGGGGTTGATTGCTGTATTAGGAGGTAACATCTGTGTGGTGCAACACATTGACGTGAGGTGAGAGCTTTCTTCGGGCAGCAGCAGAACGCTTCAAAATAATTCGGAAGAAGCTGTATCAGGCAGCAACTGAAGGCATGCACTGCAGTGCAATCAAAGAAGATGATCAACAAACTAAATTAGAAATGTGCCCTTTCTCTTTTACTTCCACACCAAACATATAATAACTTACAGGAATTAGAAATATTGCATTGTCATACCTTTCTAGCCATATTTTGCAAGAGACTGTTTTTGGTGTTTGGTTTTTTTTTTCTTCCCTCCAGAGATATCTGCTCATTAACCTTCGCTGGAAGGGAAGGAAAACAAAGTGCAATAAAAGCGCAGCAAAACTCAGGCTAGACCATTGGAAAAAAACCCAACCCAATCTATTTTCTGAAACAAATCTGGATTTCCCTCAATTCAGGGGACTGAATCTTGGCCTCACAACAGTTTTGTACTATAAAATGTATTATCTTCCTTGCATTCACAGCACCAGCAGAATCAGAGTCTGGATGCTTCAAATCTTACAAGTGACAATGAAGTACACCTTTCCTTTAATTCTAGACCAGATTTGAAAACTCTCCAGGAAATTCTTTTTCAGATTGTTAGTTACAGGCTCTAGAACTCATTCAAGTCACTGTGAAGGTGTCAGTGAATTTTTCAGCAACATTTAAGGTGACCTTTTTTGTGTGTATATATCTATATGTACATGTAAATTACAAGTGTGTGTGTGTATATGATCTGTTTACATGCAAAAATGGAGCTGCTGTGCAAACCGACTGACTCCTAACGTACCAGCTGAATTTATTGTAACCTATTCTGGCAGATCTCCCAATTGCTCTGTTACAGAAAATTAGTACTATGCACGTTCTGATCTATTAGGCTGGTGATGGATTCATAGGCAGAAATGCCCATGTGTACAGTGAGAAACATGGAAAGAAATGTTTGTTCAATTTTCAGTAGGCCTTTGGAGCTCAGAGACCCAGCAAACATAATGCCAACCGATGCCTGTCTTGAACTGAGTTCATCTGAAGTAAAGATGTACAACGTCTGATTTTTATCACCAAGAGAACTGCCACAAAAATCACATTTTTCTCTTTAGAAAATATAAAATGTTCTGCAGTTCTGCCTAAGGCTTTTGGACACTCACATACTTGAAAACCAGTGTTTTGGGTGGGTGAGGAACACTCTGCAGAACAGCTTTCACGAAGCTGCAATGGGCCCCGACAGTGCTTGGAAAAAAGCACGTGGATACTGAAAATCCAGAATTAAAACTGCAGCTTCATCATACCCATTGCAAAGGTCCAGGCCTCTCAAATCAAGGTCAGCAGAAGTGAAACAGCCTGAATTCAGAAGAGACAGAGGAGATCTAGGTTGTAGGGACCTTCTATATGTCAATCCTCTCTCCAAAGCTCACAGTCTACTGACTGACATCGTTCCTCCTGCAGGTTTGCCAGGGGCTCTGGCACCAGCATCCGGTCAGCCGTACTGAACCGTATCCCCCCATGTGGTACCCCATCCACAGAACCCTCTCCCAAAGCCATACGCCTCTCCTACTTCCTGGGGTCCAGCAAAGCTCAGTCATTTCACCAAAGCTTTATCCACCTGGTGGATACCTTGAAGGAACATACATAAAGTCAGACAGCACAAATAATAGCCCTAGGGTCACGACTGGCTTTTAGAGTCTTTTGGTCTTTTCCAGATCCAGCTCCACAGTGCTTTAATTCTTTTTTGAAACACATCCTGTCCACCCAGTTAAAACCCTTAATTATAATGTAATCTAAGATCTTCAGACTTTCTCTCCCCACTCCCTGGCCCAGGTGTTTAAGTATGACATTAGCTAGAAAATATGCTTCTCGTGTGTCCCTTTCGTGATCTAACCAGAAAGGGAATGCAAGAGAAATTGCATTTTTGTAATTATACTTTAAAGGATTACTTATATAGATATTTAAGGTCTAATTTTAACAACTTGCAGAACTTCTAGGGGAATTCTAATATAGTAAACCAATCGGCACGATCAAGAGAAAGCACAGCTAAGCCTTTAGTAACCCACACCACCTAAACGTACTTAAAGCAAAAACGGGCTACACGTAAAAGTAGAAAACAAAGTGCTTAAGCAGCCTGTGGGTTGCATTAAACACAAGCTGCTGTTGCCAGAAATGCATCGACTCTGCCATGTCACAGGAACTGGGCGCTCCAACACAAAATCAAAATCCACCTCACATCGCGGCACAAAGGCAGCCAGCTTGGGGCCCGGGGGAAGCACGCTGCAAAGCAGGAGGCCTCTGCAGAGAAATACCTTTCACTGATCCTAGACAGTTCATTCTATGGAGTGTCCCCAGGTGATTTCTAACTGCTACGGTGATGAACAGGCTGAAAGGCAATATCTCTGATACAAAAAAAAAAAAAAAGGAAGAAAAGAGAGCAACTAAACAAAGGCTGCTCAAGTCGCTGACAGAAGTATCCAAAAAATGTAACTATAACAGTAGCAAATTGTTTGGCATGGACATAAAATGCAAGTTTCAGAGCTGAAGTCAATGCCTAGATGAGAAAGAGATCATGAGAAGATGTTTCAATTGGGTATTCAGCTCCGTGAATGCCTACTGCATAGTCAGACAGTCCTCCGGAGCATTTGGAAATGTAGTGAGTGCTGTCAGGAAACAGTCTGTTCTCACATTTTCATGCCTCCCACTAAAGCTGGTCTGTCATCTGAGCAGAAGAGATATATCCTCTATAGGGAAAAACATTGCAATAACGTAGTTCACTAGGAGAACATCTACTTAGAACAACGTTAACTTGGTTTGTGCTTTGAGGAAGACAGAAATGTAGGTATTTTGGGTACGGGGTGTGGGATGGGAGAAGGTGGGAAAAGACTTACTGCACGCACGCATGCTTTCAGTAGAAAGCTTCCTGATGGTGAACCACATGGAGTAGAACTACAGAAATGTCAGGATCTACTCTTTCTCTTCACTGGCAAACACTGCTCCTAAAACAATGGTACCTAAACAAACGCCAGAGAAAGAGTCGAGATTCCTCATATCTTTCAGATAAATGGAACTTTGCCAAATAAGAAGCAAATGGTAGAATAGTGCAGCAGCGACAAAAGCTCTGATCCGACAGTCAGGGCATACTGCTGTGCTCATGCAGGGCCTCAATGACTTTAATAAGTTCTCCACAGAAGCAGAGCAGTTCCTTTGTACGCTATCAGCTACGACACTAGGATCTAATTCAGTATTCAGCTCCACATCCCCATCATGTTGGCAGTAATTCAGAGTTGGTGAGACAACTTGTACGGGGCGGGGGGAAAAAAAGGGGGGGGGAAAGTGGGTTTTAAACCTCTCTCATTTAATGTTATTTTTTTATGTGTCTAGCATCAAAGCATTTTTTCACTTCTATTTAATCAAAATTAATCACTAAGATTACTACAGTAATTTATGTTGGAGATTATTGAAATGAGTGTTTTATTAAAATCTGGTTTTATTAATAAAACACATTCTGGCTAAGGACTCATGTGAGGCTGCTATTAGAGACTATTAACTGGGAACCAGGAGTTAATCATAACAGTCACGCTGCCAGGTCCTTTGACAGCAACACACACTGGCTTTGTTTCTGCTTTTACTTTTACTAGCGTGTTCAAGTCAGTGAGTTACCCTAGCACACAAGCGGTCAGAGTAACTCCCGTAAAATAGAGAAAGGCAACAAAGGTACATACATCTCAATAGTTTTGAACAAAGAGACTCACCAGCCTGATTAGTTGTGATGCTGACAGCAGCAAATTGTCTGGAAAGCGTACTCAAGTCAGATACCCCGTTGACTGCATCAATCTCAAAAGTGTAATTGGTATGTGCCAAAAGGTCCACTACTGTCACCGTGGTGTTGGTGAGTCCAGTCTGACGGGGTAAGAATCGCACGTTGTCGCTACACGGCTCACACATCTTCATGTTTCCTCCACATTTCTTGCAAACGATGTTGAAAGTGACATCTTTCCGACCTCCAGTGTCAAGAGGCCAGCTCCAGTCCAGGATAACAGACGTCTCGTTGATGTTAGAGATAACATTTCTTGGAGCGGATGGTGGTCCTGTAAAAGGAAACAGGAAATCAGAGGGATGAGATTTTCTGTAGTGCTCAAAGATGGGAGTAACAAGGGTGCAAAAATACACAAGTCACAAGCGCAAATAACCAAATTCTTCTAGCTATTTCCTGTAGAGACTCCTGGAATATTTCACTGGACTACAGACCTAGACTATCAATGACCGTGTTTTCTTAGAGACAGACAGTACCCTGAGGGTGCAGTTCAGGACTGAGGGCTGAAAATATTGGTAGCATTTTAAAAATCCTAGCTCTCCTTCTCAAGTCTGACAGAGAACAAGAAGGAGAAAATGAAAATAGAAAGACAAAAGCCCAGCCCACCAATTTTTGGTAGCCTGTCCAACATGTAAGAAGACATGGGAGGCAGCGCATGGTTGACTGCAATGGGACATGAGAGGAAGCAAGCAAGCTGCTGAGATACAGATGGAGGAGCGAGAATGACAGCCCCGAGCATAATGATGCTACTCACTGGTGCAAGCCATGGATGGAGGATCTTTCTCAGAGCGAAAGTAATTCTTTTCACACCTGCAGTTCAGAGACGCATCTTCGTAGGTAGAGCTGTGAGGCGGGCATTTGGCACACTTCACGTTACCGGCAGAGGCTTTGTAGAACCCAGGTCGACAAGCTGCAAAATAACAGGAGTATAGTTTTAAATTCCATAGACATCTCCTCGATTTTAACATGTGACTTCGTTACTGCTCTGGGACCTATCCATATGTAGATCACATTTTGCAGACGTTTATCATCTAAAAATCACAGACTTTTCTCATAATGAGGAAGCTGATGAAAAGAAAACCTCTTGGTAGAACACAGGTCTTCATGCATCAACTTGTATTTGCATTTAATTTTGTGTGGAAAACAACACAGTGTATTGCATCGCTAAGAAGAAACATTTTCTATGTTGCATTTTGAGAACTCCACTTTTTTTCCTTCCCTTCTGGTCAATTTACCAGGTCATCAGCCCTATCCTGCATAAGCAGCGAATTTTCTCCTCTCTCTGCTCTCAAAGTTTGCTTACAAGGGTGCACTAACTGTAAACTACGTCTCTTCATTTCAGCAGGTCTAAGCAAGCCAAAACCAAGAAAATAACCTGAACAGTGAAAGACCTGCTCTATTTCTGAAGGACCAGGCATCAGGCTCCGTGAGCTGCTTTTGATACTGTCAGGAACTCGCATGGTTTGTCTGAGGAGGATGTTTTTTACAATAACCCAGTCCTCTAGGGACAGTGCTTGAACCCATAAAAGCTGCTTCTGAAAAACTCTGGGTGATGGTGTTTCATTAACGCTGGCATACTCCTGCTGTTTTGAGTCCTGTTGCACTTTAGATTGATCCAGGGCCACATTTCCATCAGAAGGAAACAGCCTTTGAACTAAGTTACAGAAATGAACAGTTTAGCGGATAACTTTTTATGAAAAACCCATGCAGTGAAATAACACTGCCGACTTCTTTCCACCAAGATGATATCACCATCTGAAAATAAATAAAATAAAAAAAAAAAGAGATCAAACCCAGATAAGAATCAGCAGACTATTATTTAGCTGCTGCTTCCCTTCAAGACAGGCATCCTTCTCCAGATGGAATTTACCAAGTAAAACCATTCTGGCTGACCCTGGTCACCAGTAGGTCTGTACTCATACCTACAACCACACACAGACAGACAACATCACAAAAGGGAGCACATCTTAAAACGCACTCCCCTTTTGCTACACGTCGGTTCCACAGCAAACACTGCATAACGCACAATCACACCAGGAAAACCCCAATACATTCTCATTACAAACCCAATGTGAAAAAAATAATAAAAAAAAAAGAGTAACACAAAGAAAAACACAACTTCTTTTTGTGTCTAGAACCCAGACAGCTAAGCTTAGATAAAATTGCTGAGGACCTCTCATTGAATTAAACGCTCATTTGAAGCCAAAAGAACGGGTTCACCAGTCTTAGTGTAAGCCTAAACAGGGACACACTTTTCTGTTTCGCTTATGGAGAGGAACCGATTCATACATGTAATATAAAATCCAAGATACAAAACTATGTGGTCTTTTGTGTTCATTCATGCAGTGCCCAAACAGAAAAGTGTTTGGATGGGCAGCCTGAGGTGGGAAAAAAGTCAGAATAAAAATCCCGGCATCTTTGTAAGTGACAGAGAAGAGAGGCAAGCTGCAGCATGAAACTGGATGTTCAGCTTCCACGTTATCACCCCTAACCAAAACCTAACTGAACATCTGGGTTAGGCCAATTTCTTGATTAGTTCCTGGTGCCAAACACCCGAGTGAAATGCCCTGGCAAGTAGAGAGAGAACAAACCCCTGTAGAGTCGTATCTCCTACTCTGAAACATCTTAATAAAGGAAACCCTCCTCACGCTGCATTGAGCACAGTGTGAGAAGCATGAAACCTTTCAGAAGGAAGCGCTAATCCCAGCTCCTCTTCGCCACCTCGCAGCCCCTGCAAACCAAGGCGCTTGGCTGCAGCTGCTACTGCCGACTTCCACGCTAGCAAAGCAGCTGGGAAAGACACCTCCTGCTCCAAGTTCTCTCCTGCAAGCCCCGAGGAAACAATCCCGAGTTTGAATCTCTGAGGTGTGGGGCTCAACAGGCAATCTGTGAAAATTGCTAAAAACAACCGGGAAGTTCACCGAGCCTAAGGCCAACCCGCCTGGTCTGGCACGGCCCGTCCCTTCTTGTGTTTCCCTCTCCTCAAGGGCTGCAAGGCTGTTTGGGGATTTTTGTTTAACTGGAGGACATAAAGGAAACCTAAGCCCCTCTTTAACATCTCCACTAGGAAAAAACGCAGCAGGAAACAGAATCGGCTTTTTCGGTTTTGTTGTTGTTACTGTTGCAGCCTTTTAAGACTCATCTCTCATTCCCTCCCAAATACTGCCCCACGATACCTGTGCCCTACCTACAGCGAGCCTCTTTGGGCTCCCTCCGGCTGACAGAGGAACCTCAAATGATTTTACAGTCTCTGGGCACAGCACGGCCGTTCCTGGCCCTAAGACAACGAGCCAGGCAGGGAAGAACAGATGCCAGTCCCGCTCTTACCAGCACTAGTAACTAAGCAAACACATGAAGGAATAAACACCGCGCTACATCTGTCCAGCTAATTATACAGCACCTTCACCAAAACATCCCACGGAAACTTACTGTCAGGTATTAAACTCAAATAGTTTCGCTTAACCATATCTACTCAGCTTGAAAGGACATTTTTATATTTATGGGCTGGCATACACAAGACAAAGATGTATTTATGAATACATACATTTTAATTTCTTATTTTTTTTAAGAACTTTATATACTAGCTTAATGTAAATATTGGAAAAAACCTAATAACCTAAAATTGAACCTTTGTCATAGGGTTGGTCTTCGTACAAGACACAATTTCCACTGCTTGTTAAGCATAATTTATTCATAGCATCATAACACATGAGCATTCATTTAGAGAATGGAACTACGGTAAGACTGTTTATTTGGGACACTTTCAAAGCACCTACCACCAACATTTTAATACAGCAATGAATTTAACATAAGTAAACAAGCTTGTGTAAGAAATGGACACATTTTGTGAGGTGAGGAAGAGAAAGGAAGGAATCAAACTGCTCCATTAATAAATGTCTCTTTCAACCCTCGGATGAAAATCTGTAGACCTCATTTAAGAAAAAGCGGTGGTGGTGTGAGGCCAGAGAAAAAAGGATGAAGAAAGAGGAGCATGCAAAAAGTACACCGGTAACATGAGATCTGGCTTTTTCTTTTCCAGAGGGACAGGGATTTCATCATTTTGTGCTTCTGCTATCGCGGTACGAAGCGAGCAGTCGGGGCAGGGGGATGAGCCGGTCGGGTCCCTGCCGCCCTGGTACACCCTAGCAAGGGCATCCCAATCTCGTGTCTTCCCCTCAGGCTGTCTCACCCTGTCTGTCTTTGACTGTCAGACCAATTTAAGAATATTCACAACTGCGGCCCAAAGGAGAAGAAAAAGTGCAATTATACTTGAAATTGAAGCTTGGAAAGGGGTATGCCAATAGAAAATGTTGTCAATGAACTTACTATTATTATTCTTTTCCTGGTCATTTTTTGAATTCTAATATAGAAGAGAAAAAAAAATGAAGCTGTTACTTCAAAAGGCATTCATTTATTTCATGTCAGAAAAATTGAATTACATGAACGGATGGAAGAAGGTTTGGCTTTTTGAGGTCAATACCATGGCTTTGGTTTCAGTCAGGTTGAAAATAAAAGGACTAGCATAGGAAGTCTACACAGAATCTGTAATTTCAGCACAGGAATTAGCTGTGAACAGCAGTTTCTTCTTCTCAACATTTTCTTCTAGAAGCTAAGAAATTTTCCCTTCCCTCACAAGGGGGAACGATGCGAGAGGAAGTAGATGCAATGGGCTGGAAAGAAAACCTCTCGGTACACAAAATGAGTAAAGGAAACCTTGAGAGTTTCTACACACGTGGTATAAACTGTACAGCGAGGCTGTCTGGTTTTGCTTTTTAAAGTCTTCTCAAGTCAGATGTCCGATACCTGTTGGCCCCAGTGACTTCTGTGATAACTCCAAACTGCAATATTGTTTCAAAACTATACGCAGTCTGGTTTCAATCTCTTTTATTTCAGTGGGAGCCATAGTGACTTTATTGAAGTCACCTACTGGTAACAATTTCAGGACTGCAGTTGTCCTTGTTACTGTATGAAAATGAATCTCCTTCAGCTATAACTGAGGAGTCTGTCTCAGAGACAGAGAGCAGAGAAAGTCCTTTCAGTGAAAGAAAAACAAATGCATGTAGCAATCTACAGTAGTTACTGCTTAAAGAAGTGTGACTTTTTAAGAGCAAAGTGAATTTTGCCTCTGTTTGACTAATCTCTTTGAGACGAAGACGTGGTCCTAATTAAAGGTTAAATGATTCATTTCAATTTGAATTAATTTTATATTAAAATATAAAGCTGTTAGTAAATAGGAGCATTTTAGCATCCCGACCCTGCAGCCCTCCATACACAGAGCAATATCACCAACTCCCAGCCGTAAATACCAACTAACTAACAACCTGAGCCCAGGTTGCCTGCGCAGATGACTTCCCAGCCCTGGTACCCCAGGCCTGACGGGGCCCATTTCCCTGCCCAAAGTCAAAGCAACTCTTTATTTGCAAAATGAGCCATATTCCCCAGTCCTACAGGAACTCTGCTTTTTGTGCTCTGAGCAGAGGTGCGATGCTTCGAGGCAACGCGCTGGAAGCAGATATACGCAGCCATGAAACCAGGCATGCAACGGGCAGCAGCCACCAAGCCATCGAGTGTTTCCTTCCTCTGCTCTTCAATAAAACAGCCCAGGGGCAAAATGCCACTATGGCATTAAACTGCAGCATTTAGAAAAGAAGGGAATTCAATCATAAACCTGTACAGCTCACAAACACCTTAGTATTTCCTCATTACCTGCAAGATGGATGACAGCAACTCTGGGACAAGCCTCCTGTCCCTGTCCCCTGCAGAGAGGACAGGGAAGCATCCCCCATCTGTGTGGTCCACATCAGAGGGGCTTTCCAAACTACTCCCGCCGTCACCTATGGAAATGGGATGCCAATAAGCACCAGTGGAGGTCCTTATGCTGGACCTGAAGGCACAGGATGACCTTTGGCT